CCCCAAAACCCCAAAACCCCAAAACCCCATGATTCAAGATTCATTGAAATCAAATGTAATAAGAATTAGATACTGTGTAAAGATATATTGAGAGATAGCTGAAGATCAATATAAATCCCAGTATTGCAAAAGCTAAGGATAATTTACCAATAATAACATTTCTACGTTCATTAGTATGATTATTTACAATTTTGTATCTGTAATATAAATAGCCTGGGTAACAATAAATCAGAAGGGGGATCGTAGTTGAACCAAAGATATTGATAATAATTGTAATCTAAATTCTGAAGCAAATAATCACAAAGTTTACAAAGAAGAGGATAGCTGCTAAGAAATATCTGTAACTTTTCGGAATATTCATATAAGCCATCCAATATTTCTTCTTCTTCAGTTCTTTTAGGATCTGAGAATAGGATTCATATATCAGTTCCTTATAGAGTGAAGGTTTATTAGAATTTTCATAATTATTCTAAGTTGAAGTTTCATCAGAAGGATCTTGTGAACTTTTATCATCTTTAATTTAGTAGATACGATTAAAAACTTCTTTGATATCAGATCTATTGCTTTGGCTATTATGCCTCTTAATTACATTTTGTAAAACATTCTTCGTTAGTGATTGCCAAAATATTTCATCGAACAGAATGCAAATTTGCTCTATGGCAATGTGCATAGTTAAGATACCTTGAATTGTTGCTTTAAATATTATAATGACAAAGGCAGATATAGCAAATTATTTATCAAATTATCTGAATAAAGCAAAGTAGTAGACACAATTAGTAGTTTATGTTCCATCTTTGCATGAATTGCTATCTTTACAGTACTTATTGCACTATTTATCATCAATAAAGACGGTTATTGAGCTTAAAATAGCAAGGTAGAATATAAAAGCAGCAGTAATGCTCATAATAGCTGCTTTAAATCCTTTATATCCATTATAATCTTTGTTTTTTATATAACATTAAACTGGTATCAGCTGTAATTCGAACTAAAATGAATACGCGGAAATGGGCATCATTAGGAATATGGTATCTAAATTTGTATATTGGAAAATTTATGGAAATATGTAATTACTTTAAGAATAATAATTTAATGAGTCTTCAAAGTCTTTAAGCTCTATGTTTATCTTTTCAATGCGTTTTTCAAATTAAAATCTGATGGATTGAAATATAATCAGAATCATCAAGGAAAAGGTTAGAGTCACTGAAAATACTGATAGTTTAATATATCTCGAAAAATTCATTTTTATCTGCACAAAGATTACCAAAACAAACAAAAATAAAACCCACAAGTAATAGACCATAAGATAGTTTACTGAAGGAGCCAATTCTGTTATTAAGTAATAAAAAGTCCTTGAAGCAACACCTAATATTACTATTATTGAATTATTTACTATAATGAGTCGCTGGGAAGAATCCATAAGCACAAAGTTGAGTAGCTGATATCAAAATAACCCATGCTCGAGATTTCAGAAGGGAGTAAGATATTTCCTAAAGTGAGCTTAAAGGTTAAATTAATAAGTATTACTTAAGTTAAGGATGCTCAAGTCTCAATCTTAGAATTATGTAGCATGAGACTATTACACTTAGGTAATTTAGTATAAAGAACCCAATTGTATAAATGTAATCTTTGTCGTAATGGAAATTAGTAGGAAATGAGAGGAAACCTATTCCTACAATTCTACAAAGAAGAGCACTTGTTACTGCGAATATTCCTATTCCTTTGTTATCATTTTTTTCATCTTATGTTTTCTTTTTATTTCAACAGCAGCAAAGGTATCTACTTTTGAATTCATCTTTCTTATCCATTGAATTTAATGTTTATTGAGACTTTATCTTAAATTGATCTGAATCATTGAACCATGTTTTGTTATTTCCCATTGAGGATCTTTGTAGTTATTCGCTTGTATGATCATTTTGTGTGCTTAATTAGAGCTTAGTTTGAAAATCAGATTGTTTAAAATTGCTATCAATTTATAGTATCAAAGGACTTTTCTCTGATTCATCCCTGAGAGAATCAATGTTTCTCTTATTTTTATTCATGATGATTACTTCCTTAATGGATGTGTTGTCTTTATCTTATCTATTCGAGAAATTTTAATTTTGTTTCTATTCCTCAAAGTCAGAGGTATAGCTCTTATTCATCTTAGATTTTACTTTTATATAATATTATCATTTTGATCATCTAATAGTCTTACAAAAAACCAATCAAGTTTTTTCATAAGATTTCTGGGGTTTTGGGGTTTTGGGG